ACATGTTTGCATCCCCTTTGGGAATATTTTGTGAATAATGCTGCCATGAAAATTGACAAACAGGTATCTGTTCAAACAGCTACATTTGAATCTTGAGGTATGAAAAGGAGACAGAATATCAGGTGCAAATGGTAATGCTGTGCTTGCCTTTCTGAGAGCCACTTATTACCTCCCCATGTGATTGCATCTTACAACTTCTCTCACCAAACAGTCCATATCTTTCAATTTTTCAAAAATCCCCCCTCAGGTATTATGTTCTGTTTTTATTTTTTCTGATTCATAACTACTCTAGAGATGTTGAGTGGGCTCACTGTGGTCTAGTCTGCCTTCATGTCACACCACACACTCTGTATTACATCTTTCCAGGATTCTTGGGCATTTCTTGGTCTTTCTTAAGAGAAGTTTCTGCTCAGGTCCTTTGCCTATTTTCAGAAAGCTTGTTTCTGTTTTGATGTAGTGTGCTAAGATGTCTTTATATATTTTGAGTTTAAGACCCTCATCAGACCTATGAATTACAAGTATCTTCTGCCATTATTAGATTTTATTTTTAACTCCCTCAAGAATGTTCTTTCAGGAAATACTTTTAGTTTTCCTGAGGTACAAATTGAATATTTTTCTTCTGCTGCTGTGCCTGTGGTGTCATTGAAAAACCATTGGCAAATCATACATCATGGGGTCTTGCCCCAGTGTTTTGTTACAAGACTGCCATGATTGGAACTCATAAGTCTCTGTTTTTGACTCATTGGAATCTACTTTTTTGGTAGTGTAAGAAGGTTCTAGCTTCAGCCTTTTGCCTGTGAATGTGTATTCAAATCCATTGCCTTTTTTTTTTTTAGAATTTATTTTTATGGCAGATCTAGGTTCACAGCAAAACTGAATAAAGAATCACAGGTTTCCCATACACCTCCTGAACTCATACATACAGAGCTTTCCCCATTGTCACAATTCTCCACCAGAGCAATACATTCACATCAACTGAAGGTCATATATGGACACATTGAATGTCCATGGTTTACACTAAGGTTCACTTTTGGTGTTTGATACTCTGGACAAATACAAAGTGGCATGTGCATGTAACTGTACTATCACAGTCACTTCATTATCCTAAAACCTTCTGAGCTCTACCTGTTCATCATTCCCTGATATTGAACCCCTAGCAACCATGGACCTTTTCATTGCCTCCATCATTTGCCTTTCCAAGAATTTAATGGAATTTGAATATGCACTATGCAGCTTTCTCAGACTGTCTTCAGTTAGTTATATGCATTCAGGTTTCCTCTAGGGAGGAAGTCATTTGGCAAAGCACATTGGTCACCACTTAGAACATCCACATCCAATGTTAGAGTACCTGGTTCAAGTCCTGTTTACTCTGACTTTGAGCCAGCTTCCTGCTAATGTGCAATCAGGAAAGGTGATGACTCAAATACTTGGGTCCCTGTCACCAATGTGGGAGACCTATATAGAATTCTTAGGTTTAGTCTAGCCCATCCGTGGTTGATGTTGATATTTGGGTGAGGAACCAGTAGATGGAAAATCTCCCATTTTTTCTCCCTCTCAAATAAAATGAAATAAATACAACAACTTTAAAAGGCCATCATCCTCTCAAAAATTCTTCTCCATATCTGTTAATGATGGGACAGCACACTCCCTGTAGTATTGAATAGCATTCAATTTTTGAGTACTCTATAGCTCATCACTTTTCCTCATTTTTTTCTCTATGAAATACTCTAAATCAATAATTTCACACACTGGTCTTAGAGTTTGCTGATTCTTCTGCTTGATCAGACCTATAGTTGTTCTCCCATTTTGATTTTTTTTTCAATTCAGTTATTGCATTGTTTAGCTCCAGGATATCTTTTTTGTTCCATTTTATAGTTTCTATCTCTCCTGATATTCTCATTTTGTTTTTGTATCATTGTCTTCCTTTTAATTGTCTCTGTTCTTTTGTGCCATACTGAATTTCTTTAAGAGTCATACTCTGAATTATTTTTCAAATAATTCACAGATATCCATTTCTTTAGGGTTGATATTGGTATTTCTTTTGATCATTTGGTTGAGATATGTTTTACTGTTTCTTCATCTGTTTTGCTGTTTTGTGCATATAATAAAAGTTACCTCTCTCAGTCTTTAGAGAAGTTTTTGGCTTTATAGAGGGAAAAATATCTTCACAATCAGCTGTTAGAAATCTTGAGGGCTCTAAGTCTTCTGTATGGGTAAATCATCTATACTTGGTGTGTCTACTTTCCGAGTTACAGAGGGTTGCTTGGTTCTTTTCTGGGAGCTTGTAGTCTGTTTCTCTCTCTGATATCCAGCATTAGTACTGTTGATTCTATATTAGCACAATTGACTGAATTCTTTTGTAGTCTGTGGCACTCAGGCATCCAAGATAATCAGTTCACTTAGTGCCCCAAGTCAGGTGAAACAGACCAGACCCTCAGGCAGCATCCCCACAAATCAGAAAATCAGATATGTATTCTACCCTTCCACAGCCCTACCAAGACAGAAACTGTAACATGAATTTTCCTCCTGTTTTCAACTGAGCTGGCTTGGGGGAAAGGCTGATGTATTTGGAATGAAATGGCTTTCCCTGCTCATTACAGTGTTATTGTCTTGGGTTGTCTTGGCTTTGAGCTTGGCTGGGACACTGCAACATGACTAGTCCCTGAAGTTCTCACGAAGGCCTTTTGGACACTTTGCTGCTGTGAAGTAACTGTTTCTGTAGGCAAATGAAGTTTGGGATTTCCTATTCTATGTTGCTTGCTTTGGATGCCCCCTGCCCTCTTTTTAAAAATTATGCAATCTATTGCTGCTCCTTAATATTTTTTTTTAAATTTGTGTATGTTTGGTAGGAAGAGAGTGGAAAAGGAAAGAGGCACATAAAAATATATATCTTGCATCTGCTCATTCACTTCCCCAATGCTTGCAATGCCCAAAGCTGGGTCAGGTTAATGCCAGGAGCCAGAAACTCCATTCTGGTGCCCATGTGGGTGTCAGTAACCCAAGTGCTTGAATGATTGGTGCTTTCCATGGTACAGATTAGCAGGAAGTGGAAATCTTTGTGATACAGGATCAGATATTTAGACCATCTTCTGTTACTTTCCCAGGGACACTAACAGGGAGATAGATTAGTAGTGGAGCAGCCATGATTTGAACTAGCACTTATGGAATAAAGACATCACAGGTAGTGACTTAATGCATTGTGCCACAAGGCAGATCCCAGCATTTAAAACTCTTGATTAAGCTATTCTTTAAAAAAATTTAAATACTAGTATTAAACATTATGCTAATAGATTATAAATCTGAGTAGGAAATAACTTCCATAAAATATAATATAATATGAATTGAGAATTAGAAACTCAAAAAATTATTTTAAATTTTACTCTAAAATATTTGTTTGAAAGGGAGAGTTACAGAGAAAGAAGGACAGGTAGAGAAAGAAAGAAATCTTCCATCCACTGGTTCACTCCCCAAATATTTAATGGCTGGGCCTGGGCCACGCCAAGGCTAGAAATGTGAAACTCCACTCAGATGTCAGGGACACAAGCATCTGGATCATCTTCCACTGCTTTCCCAGGCTCATTAGCAGAAAATCAATCAGAAGCCAAGCAGCCGGGACCCAAACTTGTACTCCAATAAGTGATGCTGATGTGATAGGCAACTACTTAACATATTATGACACAGCAGCAGTCCCATCAAGTAGAAATCTCATGTATAGTAGGGATTTTCTTAAAGGCAGGCCTAAGACTTACAAATCAAGGGTGGTAAGGAAGGTCCTCATGTACCAAGGATGAGGGAATTACTGCTAAAACAAAATTTTTAATGTTCTTGGTAAAAGTTGTCTCCTCAGGTCTAGTACAGTGCTCAAAGGACAAGCATAGTCAAAAGGAAGATTCAGAACAGCCTTCTTAAGTCTATTCAAGAATAGTCTTTATCAGTCCCTTTATTTCCACCACTCCTCACCATCAGTAGTTATAACTCTTTTAACTTTCCCAGTCTATGGAGTCCTGGAAGGCAGAGAGATTTATACAGGGTCATATAACCTAAAAGAGGCAGCCTTATTGAAACACATCTCTGTATCCTTACATCTGAATCCTTGTTGAACCGAGGCTGATCCTGAAGTCTAAAAGTATGGGTAGTGTTGTGTAATTGTGTGTTATTATGTACATAACATGAGGTGCACGATGAGCAGCCCAGATGGAATTTGGGGAGATCTTTGCTGAAACAGCCTAGGGAAGTAGATGTCAAGAAGTTATTTTCTTGATAGCCTACTACAGAATATGCAGCTCTGGCAGTTGAATGTTGATGGTGACTGATTAAACATTTTTTAGCTATAAGAACATTAGAGAAAACCAAGTGGTCTCCTGTTATATCCTGACTTCCCTTTGTCCTAGGTTGAATCTCCAATGAGCCTGTTTTATAACTTTGCTGCTGTTGGCTCAATCTTCACTCTGAAGGCATTTGGGGAGGTAAGATCCCATGTTAACACACATTGTCCCAATCTAGACAAGGTCACTTATTCTGATCCCACTGGGGAATCAACACACCATTTATCCTTTGGTGTGGGTTTGGATATCCTCACGTGAAATGGCCTCCACTGTGAAGAATCAATTTGTTAGAGAGTTAGAATCTTGGTCAGATTGCCAGATCCACAACTCATATCATGGCAGGAAGAATATAAAGGAGAGCTAAGCAGCAACAAAATCAATATACTTGCTGAATCTTTGCCAGGTACATGAATCACAATGTACTCAAGCTTCTCATCCTGTGTGTCAAATAGCCTAGGGCTTCAGCATTGGATTCTGTGGCATTCTAATCTGTAGGGCTAGTCCACACATTTCTTCTTGCATGTAATTGAATTTCTTGTCCACAAAGCCTCTAGTTATTTCATGTTGTCCTAGAGTCCCCATGTTGCCTCTTTCTCTCTGTGCCAGTTATTCTCTAAGCTACAGATTTTTTTATATGAATGTACATGGAATGTACATTTCTCCTTATAACTAAAACCAATGAGGAGAGATACAAAATTCCTAAATGAAATCTGAATTGCAGAATGTCAAGTTCCTACAGAAAAGGATCATATTTCCCTGTTATTTTTATATACAAAGTTCTACATGTTATTCCTTAGATCCTGGTACCTGTAAGACAGAAGAAAATATCATTTGGACCATTTGGTAACATCTCCAAAGTCATCACATTCCATACTCGTGATCATCAGTCTTTTTCTGTTTGAGAGACAGAGTTACAGACAGAGAGGAAGAGACAGAGATTTCCCACCCCTGGTTCATTTCCCAAATGGCCACAATGGCCAGAGGTGGGCCAATCTGAAGCCAGGAACCAGGAACTTGTTTTGACGCTCCCATGTGGGTGAAGGGCCAAGCACTCCGGACATCCCCTGCTGGTTTCCCAGGTGCATTAGCAAGGAGCTGGATTGGAAGTGGAACAGCTAGGACTCAAACCAGGACCCATAGGGGATGTTGGCACTGCAGGCAGCAGCTTTACTGGATACACTACAGCTCCAGCTTCCTGATGATCCATCTTAATGTCGGTACTTCGTCTGAACTACTCTCTGGATTCCCATGTCTATACCAACATGACAGTAAATACTGGAGAAATTCCCACCTCTGCATCTTTTGGCCCCACTCTAAAGTCAAGTCTCTAACATCATCTGAATTTTGACTGTGAGTATACTTGCTGATGTTGATCCCAAATGGAAACTCTATATGTGACTGTAAAGGACCCTGGGTGTCCGGTGAGCCAGGCTGCCCATCTTTGAGGGTCCCAGGATACAGTGAATGTCTGCATGCTTGGAGCAACAAGTTGATCCTGAAAGGGGTTGAGGGCCAGAGAAACAGAAAAGGGATTGTATTTTTTACCATCTACTGAGAGCTTGATTTAGCTGACATTATTCTCTCTCACACAAACATTTTAAAATTCTACATAAGCATTCTATGCTGCACTTTAAATTTCAAATCTCATCACCAATATATGGTGAGCAGCCACCTTGTTATTGTGTAGTACTTGTGGTTTGCTGTTCATATATTCACCCTCCACAGAACCTGAACTGGCTGTCTAATGTTCACTGTATGCCAGGAGAATCACCAGAACAGTTATATTTGCTGTTTGCTTCTGGTTAGTTTCGTTCAGAAAGTAGTATAATGGAGTAACAAAGGAACATATTCAGAGGACAAGGAAGCAAGATTTAGTCAATCACTTCTTAATCAGAGATTTTTGGCAGCAATGGAGAACAGTTGCAATGATCTTTAAAGGTTTTCTGGTGCCTCTGACAAACTCCTTCATGAGATGAGACACAGGGCAAAAATACAAATTTTGCATTTGATCACAAATGTTACTTTACTCACCCATAAACCTGAATTCTCATCTATATCTCCACATATTAATGGAATTGTGTTAATCTTTCATTCATATCTGCTTATCACTCCTCCTAGTCATTCATCTTATTTCCCAATTTTAAGTAGAATAATTTCCATATTCTGTCTAGGATCATTCTCATTCCACAGACATGGACATCATTCTCAGAACCACAGACATGATTAGGTAACCCCTGTCTGTGCACTCCTTTACTATTCTTCATCAACCAGAGGTACACAACCTCCCCCTTGATTCTTGGAGATATCACTGGCCTCCCCAGGAGGCATTCTGACCTCCAGTAGCATCATCTTTGGTTTACCCAAACAGGTTATTTGAAATTCTGCCACATTCTCTTGCGCTGATTACCCTTCACAATACAAATTTAGCCTCTGTGTCTCTTCTCTCCCTGCCTCCTCATAACTATTACCAATTAACTCAAGTATATAGACTTAGAGAAATTACAGCAAAAATTATACTGTGCTTCATACTGTTTGACATTTGATCATATGACTTGAGCCAGTTGATAATAGTGTGTGGATTATGCAGGCACCAAAGAGCCTTGACTATGTGGTTCTGTGCATGACTGTGGCCATATACTTACTTTTTGCCTTTAAATAACTCCCTCTACCAACCACAGATAAGGGTACCTAGCTTGCAGTTATTGCTGGTTTGAAATGAAGCTATGTAAGCATGTTTCTGAACACAGTGCCTGTAAAAACACCTAGGGCTCAAAACGATTTTTACTGCCTACATTCCAACAGAATGACTAAAATTTATTCATGCGTCCATGCCTGTATTTTGTTCTGATTATTGTAAATTATAGAATTTTGTTTAGCCTACTACTTGATAATATCAAGAATGGCTAAGAAGTGGGTGTGATTGTGTATTAATAATATTAAACATTGAGACCATAATAGTGAAAAGCCCATAGCAATAACTCAGTTAACATTTGTTTGATGAAAGAATGGATGGTTAACATTATTTTCCAACCACTTATTGAATACCAAAAACTTTACGGTCATTTCTTTAATACTAACAGTAGCATTGAAAGGCGGATACTTTTTCTCTCATTTTAATAAAATGACATATGTGAACTAGTTTTTCTTAAAGAGAAACATTGAAAGCCCATTTTTCTCTTGGGGATTCTTATTTTTGGGTTGACAAGTGGTTTTAAAAGAAACAAAACTAGGTATCTTTCTGCCTATAAGTGACAAAATTAATTATAATTGTTGAAAAAAATAGTTATTATACAGAATTATTCTCAACACTGAGAGTTAAGCTTCTCAATTCATTCACAGTAGTTAGTGTAAACCATGGTATAAGTAACAAAAAAGCAACAGAATTATTTTTCTATGCTTATCTCACAAAAACATTCACTGTAACTCATAATATATAAAAAAGCAGCTACAGTTGACTTTTGTAATATATGTGTCACAATGATAATAAATATGTGGCCCAACACAATGGTTAATATCTCATAAGTTTATGCAGCAGTTCTTATTTAAAATGAAAATTTAAATATTAGGGTTATCAAAATAGAAAAAACACCTTTTTTAAAGATTTACTTTATTTCTTTGAAAGACAGACTCACAGAAAGAGATCATGGTAGAAAGAGAAAGAGAGGCCTTTCATCCCCTGGTTCATTCCTCAGTTGGCCTCAATAGCCTGAGGTGGGCTGAACTGAAGCCAGGAGCTTCTTCTGGGTCTCCAACATGGGTGCAGGGGCCCAAGCACTTGAGCCATCCTTTGCTGATTTACCAGGTACATTAGCAGGCAGCTGGATCAAAAGTGGGCACACAAAGCAGCACCCGTATGGATGCCAACACTGCAGGCCAGGCTTTCACCCACTGGCCACCCAAAAAATATTTTACTGTTGTTATTATTTTTTAAAAGAAAGAGAAATGTCAGTGCTGTGGCTCACTAGGATAATCCTCTGCCTGTGGCACCAGCACCCCGGGTTCTAGTCCCAGTTGGGGCACCAGATTCTGTCCCGGTTGCTCCTCTTCCAGTCCAGCTCTCTGCTGTGGCCCAGGAGTGCAGTGGAGGATGGCCCAAGTGCTTGGGCCCTGCACCCTCATGAAAGACCAGGAGGAAGCACCTGGCTCCTGGCTTTGGGTTGGTGCAGTGCTCCGGCCACAACACAACAGCCATAGCGGCCACTTGGGGGGTGAACCATTGGCAAAAGGAAGACCTTTCTCTCTGTCTCTTTCTCTCTGTCTAACTCTGCCTGTGAAAGAAAGAAAGAAAGAAAGAAAGAAAGAAAGACAAGTGAAAGAGAAAGATGCAGGCAGGGACAACACAGAGGAGAGCTTCCAGTCCCTTTTTCATGCTCTAAATGCCACAAAAATTGAGACTAGACTATGCTGAAACCAGATGCAGAACTGAATCTGAATCTCCCACAAGGGTAACAGAAACCATCTACTTGAACCATAACTGCTACCATCAAAGTATTCATTAGTTAGAGGCTGGAATAAAAAGAGGAAATAGGTATTGAACCCAAGATGTAGGCCTTCCAAACAACATAACTGATGCTCCATTCGTCTTGATGGTGTGCTTTCTAATGTACAATATACTTACCATATGAATCTTAAATATCAACTGTCCTTAAATGCATTCCAAACTAAAATGGCAATAAGTTTAGTTTGTGTATTTTTAACTTGCAAGAATTTATTAAGACATATTCTTTGTTTTTCAAAATTCCAAGATTTGATCTAGATGTCCATACCTGATATACAGAAAACTGTTTAATGGGAAGATGTAGGAACTTTTTCACTGCAAAGTTTAAGCAATTTATATTTGTTTTGCCACAGTATATGTAAGCCACTATATAACAGAAAAGAAGTACTATTAGCATAAATGAGTATGCTAATAAAAATATTTCATGTATCTACTTCTCCATTTCCCCAAATTATCTATAAATAAATATGACATCATCTGAACATCTGTGAAAACTTTCACTAAGTTCATTATGTTCTAATTCGCTAAAGCACACATTACAGCCTCATAACATAAGGACATTTTGCTGAAAACATAAGCCATCTTATTGAAGGTGTTATCTAAATTTCTTGGCATCCCTTCCTTACAATATATAATTTATCATCTTTAATTTTGTTCTTAAAAAGTGAAGTTTATCCTATAATATTCAGAAAAATTGGCATACAATTTTCAAATCTACACAAGAAAATACATGCAAACAAAAGTTAAAAGGATGATAAAATGCCTGAACATAATGATTTGTAAAACTTTCAGAACAAAAGTGCAAAAAAATGGTAGCCACACAAGTAATTAAATTAGTGAGAATTCCATTCTTAGGGCCCTCTTTAGCTATATAAAGCCATTCAATTCCAAATATCAGTAATATAAAAAATAGTAGTTGTAGATATATTTAATAATTACATCATAATCTTTAAAGAGAAAAAATTACAAACTATAATTCTATTATCACTTATTGAAGAATACTGATTTTATAAAAATATCACAGAACACAACTGATTGTGTCTTATGACCTAGAATTTAGTTAACTTACCAACTCAAAATTGAGACATAATTCTCTTCAACCTCTGTACGTGTCAGTTATAGCTCTGTTCTAAAGCTGAGAAAGGATAGCTATTTTTGTCAGACATTCCAATTAAAATAAGAACAAGAGGTTTGCTACTGTGAGTACCCAAAAGGAAGAAAATATCATCTTTCTTTTCAAAATGTCTGGATAGGTGCTTTCTAATGTCCTATTTGTAGTGGATATCCTTACCTTTATATAATAAATTATATTCTTACAAATATATTAAGAGAGTTTTGTACTCTAGGATATAACAATTTGATAAATATCATATGCTTTCAAGATGGCATTGGAATCTCTGTTAAATATCAATTTTGTTCAATGGCTATTTTCTGGCAGTTCTATCAATATTCATATATTTTGAAGTTTTGCTCTTAGGAGCTTTGACATTGGGCCAGTGTTGGGGCACCGTGGGTTATGGCACCACCTAAAGAATCAACCTCCCATATTCAAGCACTAGTTCTAGTACCAGGTACTCTCTCTAATCCAACTCCTTGCTAAAGCCATGGGAAGGAAGTCAATGATGGTCCAAGTACTTGGGACCTGCCACCCCTGGAGGACACCAAAATGGAATTCTGGGCTTCAGTCTAGCCCAGCCTGGCCCATCAAGGCCATTTAAGGTGTGAACCAGTGAATAGAAAATTCGTTTCTCTTTGACTTTCCCGCCAGTCACATGGCCTATCAAATAAAATAAAAATCTTTTTTAAAAGAATACAATGAACTCCTGCTTGATTCTCCCCATTATAACTGAAA